TCACATCACCAAGCGCGAAGCGCCGTGAGATATTCGGCGAGTCGCATGAAGGGTGCGCTGCATCCTGCTAAGGGTGTTCGGCATCTTGTGCTTACTTACTTGCGTACGGATGACAGCTGCGTATGACTTAATTTATTTTCTGGTGCTTTCACTTCCTGAGACAATTGTAAGCACTGTGTAACTGCCTCGAGGGTGCTTGACCATTTTAACACAACGTGGTGCGATCATCCCCCTTGCGCGGAGCGAGGGTTCTCCACCCCGCACAAATGATCTACTCGACCACCATTATGGTTACCGCCAAAAAAAAACCGGAGGTAAAAAAAAACCGGTAACCTGGTTGCCGAGTTCACGAAGTGAATTGGCTTGTTTTACAACGTCGTTGCCAAGCGACGAAAACCCAACCCCGATGGCAAACACCGGGGGGGCAAAACACCGGGGGGGAGGCTTATATAATGATGACCATTGTGTGAAATCGTTTAGTGCGCGATCGTATGGTGCACAACTTCCGCCTGAACGATACCGAATTCCCTTGAAGAAAGGACGAGGGAGTCCTCGTACGCATACATCCGGGACGCCGGAGGAGTAGAGGTGTAGGCATCAATTTAATTTGACTATCATCGCAAACTACCCGATATGCGAACGGTGCCCTCTATTAACCTTTCATAGCCATCATATCATACACACATACATATCGCCTGCCTCGCCTTCTAGACGCGCCTGTAATCAGGTAGGGCCTAGGACTAGAATCCTCCCCCCGTAGCCTCAGGGGACTGGTCGTTTCACCTTCTTGGTGATGGTGCACAAAGTATGGTATTTAACACGATTCTTTCTATCTCTCCATCTTCTCTCTCTCCTGCCAACATGCCAATTAGGCAGAAAGAAACCCCATTCTATCATAGCACGCATGCAAATTTCCAAAGACGGCTTCCAACCATGAGCCACTACTATACAACCCACCCAGATGCGCTGCGTCCATACCCTTCGTGTGCACAGAACTTTTGTGCCCAGTTGTCGTTCTGCTGGGTGCTGTGTGCCGTGTGCCTTCTCTGCAACATACCATGGTATGGACCAGAGAGTCATATGCCCTCATTTATCCCCATGGGGCGGCCACACCCTGGTGCGAAGGGAGAGGCCAGGTCTCTAACCCCGCAGAGAGGAATAGACGGGAAAACACCAGAGGAGCATCTTGTCCAGAAGTCAGCAGAGGCCTCCTGGACGAAACAGTAAGGGGATATCATCAACATCTCCAACTACCGTATCCGAGTCGCCAGCAGAGCCCTGTTTACAATGCCCCCAACGCGCATCGCTACTTCTTAGCAGAACCCGACAAGCTCTAACAACGAACTAGGCTCTTAACTACATAAAACTGGAACAGGTTACAAAGCGCGAGCATGATAACTCGCCATGAACGGTCGAATCACCTGAGCAACAACAAGCCAAACAGCCTTGTACACAACCCCAGCAGCGCCTTGGCCACAACCATGTAGACCGGGCTTTGCCGGGGGCTCGGACATGGTACTTGGAGATATTGATGGTAACGCCTTACATCTCCATCAAGGGGGGCTCTGCTGACTTCTGGTCACAATGTACACCTCTCTTGGCTTCTCTTTCCCCACTCTGTGGGCGTAAAGCCCTGGCCCCTCCCCTCAAACTTTGGGGAGGTCAGCCTAGGGGAACAACTAAGGGCATATTGCTCTCCGATCCATACGCCTCACCGTTACATGTGTACGAGCGCCCCAATTGTCGTACTGATCAGTTTAAAAAAAACGGCGCGAAAAAAGTGTCCTGTCTCTAAATGCACGCCTTGTTTGACATATACCAGGTCGAATTGGCTTTGCTCAAGATAGAGCGGTGGTATTTTTGGGGTGTCGGCGCGTGTACTATGATATCACGCTCGCGGGCTCTCGTCGAGAGCGTATCGCAAAACGAAGGGACTCAAGTTCCTTGATTATTAGAGAGTGACCGACGTGAGCAAGAAGAGGAAAAGCCTGCTGCACCAAGTCTGTCTGCCATACCCATATCTATCCCATCTGCATTTCCCCCTCGGAAATCTCGGAGACTTGTATCCTACCGAGTACACACACAAACAGTCCCCATACTCGGTACGAGATGCGATTTACGAGATCCTCCGTACATATTGCCAGGTAAAACGGCAGCAAAGCAAAAAACCGTTCATCTTTCGTATTCACCAGTCATCTCAACTCTCGAATCTATCGAATATTTAATCTTCAGGTTATCACTCCTTCTTTTGGCTATGGAACTTCACTAAGAGTCTTAACAAGCACCCCTCTCGAGAAAATGTTGTCATCACATTCTCAAGCAGTCAACAACAAAGAATAATACTTGAAAAAGTACTGAGCAAAGATCAACAGTTCATCAGGGCCACGTCAACAAATACTTCGAAGAGAATCCTCGCACAAGCCGCGTTTCAACTCATCGACCAAGTTCAAATAAGCTTCGGAAACACATAGGCCGCAACCATGTCTGTCCAAAATATGCCAAATCCTTCCTCCAATGCATCGTTCAGAACAATCATCAAAAACAAATGCATACGGCAAAAACAGACAAGGTTGAAAACTCGGCGTCAACGAAGACGCCAGGAGAAACTTTCATCTTTTAATGCCGTTTCTCAAACATCGGGACAGGGGTTTCTTAACAGCCCCCCCCCCTGCTTTAGTATCTCCAAAAACATCAAAGCTTAACTTAGCGCCCCTGTTGCATCTCCAAACCATAAACGCTTGACAGCCCCCTTCAACATATCTCCAGCCATGAAACTCAATGCGTCCTACGGCAGAAAATGCAAGAAAAAACTCTCGAATTTTAACAATGAGAAATTATCAACCATCATGAAATTACCTCCGAACTCCGCAGGTAAAACGCGGGATCGCGAACAAGCAAAAGTTGTGGATTTCTCCTAATTTTTCGAAGGTAAAACGCGGAATACATTAACAAAATTAACAACCAAGGCCGAACGTCCGCAGAACTCTGTACTGCGGCGAAGGTCATGACGTGTCAGCATCACATTCATCCCCCCCCGTGATTTTCGACAGCAGTGCTAGCAGTGATCCTACAATATCAACTGCACATTCGGCGCGGTGGATTTTTAGACATGCAAAGCATATCATCCATCCTCAGCAAGCGAAGAACACAAAATGTATTCTATAAAACACAACGTCGATGCGCATCGCGACACAACTGTAACGCCGACGCAGTCCACAAACTCATGGTGTCCAACAAACAAAACAAGACCGAACCTAGGAGCTACATAAATTTAGCCAAACAAACATAACACTCCTCGCAAACGTGCCTGAATTGGGCGTAGACCCATCGTGCAACCACCGGTCATCCCACACGGTAGTTCCCGAACACATAGCCTCCCAAATCATACCGCACACTTACTGCCACGATGGATTGTTCATCTCCGGCATTACCCCCCATCGTCCCGCACCACGAAGATACCATTGTACACGGTCGGATGGGCGCCGGGATGCCGCTCACGGGCAGACAACACCACGACGTTGCCGTCGCCGCTGCCGCCGCCGCCGCTGTTGCTGCCTTCGTCGCCATCGTCCAACCAACAGCTATCCTCATCGCACTCGCCCTCCGTCTCTTGCACTGCTGCTGCCGATGAAGTTACTAATGTGCGTGCTGCGATGAGCCCCCCACTTGATACAGTGGGGGGTACCGGGGCGCCGGTGGACGAAACCTCCAGTGCCACCGTTCATGCTGCTGACGGCGACCCCGCCGTTCCCTCCATCGACGAGTCAGGAAAAAAACCAATAACTGTCGCCGTCCGCACCGTTGGCTCCACTGTTGAAGCCACGCCTGCTGACGACACAAGTGATGGGCCCGGCTTGTGAACGCAGCGCACCTGGCTAGTAGTGGTTCATGGTGGGAGGATGCCTTCGGATATCTGCATGTCTAGGATATCGTGGTTAGATGTTCATGGTACCCCCTTGCTGTCCCATTAGGGGGGCCTCTTTTGACGTCTGGTGATAATGATACACTCTGTTTACCATCACCAAGGAGGTGAAGCGACCAGCCCCCTTAGGCCACGGGGGGAAGACACTGGTCCTGGGCCCTACCTGATTTCAGGCGTGTCCACAATAATCGATAACTCAGGTTGACTGACCAGGGTCAGTCAGGATCAAAAATATTCTTGACAACAGCAGTACAAGCTATTCTTCCGCGTTTTTCCCGCCGCACTCAGTGCAAGGCTAGGCTGGGGGAGCTGCTGTACTGATCTCTCGCGGAGCTGCTTCATCTGCCCGGGGATTGTACGGCGCGATTGCCCAGAGACGCTCCAATGCCGGCAAGGGGGCGCTTGGCGGATAGCAAGGTTCTGTTGGAGAGGTCGGTGAGATTCATTCAGGGTGGGTTTACCGATTTGGTCTGGGGCAATAGACTCAAACCGCCCGAGTATGGACGCACTTTTTCGAGGGCTTCGTCCTTGCGTTTCTTTACGCAGTACAATGAGTACGAGAGGAGCATGGGTCTCTGCAACAGTGGGCAGTCCATCAAACGCCCGCTGCTTAATGAATGTCAACTGTTGCGCCAGTCTATCCACAAATGCCTGTCGCGCACATACTTTGATGGCACCGAACTCGAAGAAACTGACCTGTGCGAGGCTCTGGCCAAACATGCTGAATGCTGGACGGACGATACCATTGAGCCTTCGATTGCGGCCGCTGCGGTGACTCGTATGGTAGCTATGGGGACTAAGGCTACTGCTGTAGATCGGATCGATGCTGTTCGAAGTCGCCTCGAGCGCGAATACCCGAGTGCTGAACGCAATTCCGCGGGCGCGTTTAAGAATGGTTCGGCTGCTGTCATGAGCAAAGCAGTTGTGGCTGAGTCGGCTCCGCCCGAGTTTAAGGTCGAGGTGGAAAGCAAGCTGGACATGCAAGGTAGCTGGAAGGATAACCCCGAGCTAGTCTTTGAGATCGCACGGGATGTTGCGGTCGAGTGGCGCACGGTTGAGTTGGCAGACAGGCAGCGTGGGCAATCGCGTGGTGGCGGCGTACAGGCCCGTAAAAAAAACATCTCAGCAACAGAAATGGAGGAAAACGAACGCGCCTGGTGGCGCTGGCGGTGCAGGTGCGTCTTCATTTGCCAAGCTTGTTACGAGTTTCAGGTGCAAGAAGTCAGGCGACGCCCCGCAGATCTGTCCGTTGCAGCGGTTCCCCGCCAAAGCCCCTACCCAGCACGCTAGGCATTGGGGGCATTTTCGCGGCACCGGGGATGCCCGTGGAAACCAGCAGCAGCAACCGTAGCCGCAGCAGCCGCAGCAGCCGCAGCAGCAGCAACAACCGCACTGCGACCAGGGGTACGCGCAGCAGCACCAGCGCCCTAACGGTCAACAGCCAGCGCAGCAGTCTTTTTCAGGAGGGGGCCGTGACGCCGGGGGGGCATCGTCCACCACCTTCCATCAGCGCCATGTAGGTGGACGGGCTGTTTTTGCTGGTGAACCCCAGGGCGAGGAAGCTCCGACGCCTTTCCTCCCGCCAGACCCGTCGCCGTCAGCTGCCACTGCCCTCCGCATCCTTCGCAGCGTCGACTGAGGGGGTGGGGGTACCACCCGGTCCTGAGGGTCCGTGCGTGCCAGCGTTTCGTGGAGTCCAGCCCGGAGGTACGTCTTGGTGTGATTCAGAAGGTATCGCGGTTGACTCGCAAAAAAAGGTGCCAAGTGAGCTTGTCGGTGCCTGGTGCTGCCGACATGACCGCGATAGAAGCTGTTGCGATTATGGACTCTGGCTCCGGGCTCACCATCATGTCAGCAGGTATCGCGAGAAGGCTGCAAGCTGCTTTTCCGGATGTGTAGGTCGTAGAGGGCATACAAAACCCGGAGAACTGAAAGTCGCGGATGGCCGCCGCGTGCTCGAGGTTATTCAAAAAACCTGCCCAGTGCGTATTGCTTTGCACACCAGCTGGGGGTTAGTGTCGGTGGACCCGTTTTCGTTGGCGGTCATGACTGGCAACGATGAGGTGGTTATTCTTGGCAACCCGACGCTGAAGGCGTTGGGTATCGATGTGTACGAGAGCTTGGGGACATGTTCGCGTTCGCGCGCTAGCGTCATGGGTGTTCAGACCACGGCGTGGAAAGAATGCCGCCGAGTTACGCTTGCCGTTGATGCCCTGCAGCGGAGCGAAGGCCGGGAGCAAGTCGAGCAGGATCCAGCGGTCAAGCGTCTGGTGGCGCAACGCCCCCATGCGGACATGAGCCCTGAGGAGGAGGCATCGGCGCGGTCTGCATCGTTGGACAGCGCTGTCTCTTCCGCCGTTGTAGCTGGATTGGACGAGCCGCACGTAGGCCGTCTACGGAGCATCATCCGAGAGCGCTGGAATGCGTTCCGCCCTGGTATGCGACCGGGTGACCCTCCCGCGAACGTAGAGCCTCTTCGGGTCACCCTCAAGCCAGGAGCACTGCCGGTTAAAGCTCGACCGCGGACCTACAACCCGATCAAGACCGCGTGGCTGGCGGGGTGCATGGCGTCGCCTGTCGTGCTGGGCTTGGTGTTCCTCAATATGCAGGCCGTGTCGGCCAGCGCCGCGATGGCGACTCCGAAGAAAGGGGGATACCGGCTGCTGAGTGACTTTCGTGCGGCAAATAACCAAGTAGAGAAGGTGCCTGGTGTTATGCCGAACCCTGAAGCAAGTATGGCTCAGTTTAGTGCGACCAAGTTTCACGGGAGCTTGGATCTGTTACGAGCGTACTGTCAGCGTCCGTTGTCTCCGGAGGCGCAGAAAATCTTCACGATTGCCACGCCGCGTGGCCTCCACACGCCCAAGCGGGTGCCGCAAGGTATTTTGAACGCTACGTCCTATTTCCAGGCCACCCTGTCGCGCATCCTCGAGGGGCTGAACTGCCTCGTCTGGGTAGACGGTGTCGTGAATCGGGGCATGGAAGAAGACGACTTGCTTAACACCCTCGACATGATTGTTGAACGCCTGGACGGGGCTGGACTTACGTGGCCGCCCACAAATGCACGTTTTTTGAGACCAGCATCACATGGTGCGGGAAGGTGTACTCCCAGGGCAAGGTTGAGCATGATCCCGAGCGGCTAAGCGGTCTGGAAAACATGCGGCGTCCTGAGGCAGCTGGTGAGCTGATGCAGTTCCTGCAGTCTTTCAATTGGTCGTGGACATCTCTACCGCGGATGGCGGAGGTTGTGTGGCCGCTTCGCGTGTTTATGGAGCAGCATTTGGTCGGTGCCAAGAGCCGAACGAAGCGCGTGGCCGAGAATCGCGCGATCGCTGCGGATGCGTGGACGCCCGCGCTGATCGCAGCGTGGGATGCCGTGCAAAACCTCGTTGCCCGTGCTGTTGCCTTGTCTCACCCCCGCCCAGGTTGCGCCATGTTGGTGTTCCCCCATGCGTCCGATGAGCATTGGGGAGTTTCCTTACCCAAGTGCCCCACGATCAGCTGGATCGTAACGTCCCGGTGGAGGATATGGCTCATGAGCCGATGGGATTCTTGAGCGGCACATTCAAGGGCGCGCAGCAGCGGTGGGCCACGGTGGACAAGGAAGGGTACGCGATTGTGAGTACGTTCAAGCGGCTGGAGTATTTGCTTTGGGATGGCGTGCATATCTTCACCGAACACCGTAATCTCGCGTACATTTTCGACCCGGAACCTTGCGTGTCCGCCGTAGCGGAAACAACGACTCAGCGTCTCGACCAGTGTAAAGCACTCTTAGGCCAATACGATTACACCACGCGGCACATTTCGGAAGAGCGTAATTGTTGGGGGGACCTTCTGTCGAGGTGGGTCTCTGTGCCGTCAGTGAGTGTTCGTGTGGCCGTGGTTTACGCCCCCAGCGAACCTGGACCGTCAAAGTAAGTCGTACGTGATGCCCAACAAGCGGCGCGGAGTACCCTCGGCGCGCTTGCCGAGCCTGCCACATCGTTTTCGACGGCGGTGGGGACGGCGGCCCTGGATGGTGAGGGGTTGTTTCGCGTAAACATGAATGGACGTGACGTTTTTTGGATTCCAGATCAAGCGGGTGCTTTGCAGGTGGGCCTGATGGTCTGTGCCCATATGAAAGGAGCTGGGCATCGTGGCGCCGTCGCCACCTTGCAGCGGTTGTCCGAGTACTGTTGCTGGTTTCGGATGGAAGAACACGTCACCGACTTCGTCAAGCAGTGCCTACATTGTATGGACTCGAAGGTGCGGGAAAAGGTGCCTCGCCCGCTTGGAAACCGTCCACGGCACGCGTCCTGGCGAAGTTGTTATTTTTGACTACCTCTAGGTGGGAGCGAGTGGCCTGCCGGGAGAATCATCGCTTGGACGAGTAGGACGGGCTCAAGTACATTTTGGTCATGATGGACGACTTGTCAAACTGGGTTTGGCTGGAGCCCACGGTGGCATGGACCGCCCGCCTGACTGCGTAGCATCTTCTTACGTGGTGCAAGATTTTGGGTGTTCCGGAGGTCTGGGTGAGTGATACCGCTTCCAATTTCGAAAATCATTTGATGGCTCCCCTTGAGACTGCACTCGGTGTCGATCGAAAATTTTCCGTCGCCAACTCTCCCTGGTCTAACGTTACGTGCGAGCGAATGACGCGCGAAGTGTTTCGTACTTTAAAGGCCGAGATTCAGGAGGAGAGGAGGAGTACTCACGATTGGGTTGCTCTGGTGCCAGCTGTTCAGTGGGTCTTGAACACCGCCCATCGCGAACGCTACGGTTCGACGCCGTACCACGTCATGTTTGGTAGAACACCGCGCACTGTGTTTTCGACTTTGGCGTCGCCTGCCGGCGCTGAATGGAAGGCGGACGTCCTGGATAGAAGGCTTTGCAGCATATCGTTGAGGCCCAGTGTCACTTGCACAAGGAACTTCTGGATAAGGTGCAGGCGGGGTAGGAAATCGGCACCGAGCGTCTGCCCGCGTTGGGTGCCTGCCGGACTTTGCGGTGGGGGACTACGTGTTGGTGGCGCGCGAACGTCGGCGTGGGTCGACCCCGAAGCTTCTCATGACTTGAACGGGGTCGTGGAGGATTGTCGCTGCTGAGAGATCGCATATGTACGGAGTCCTGAACATTGTTTCGGGTGCAGTTCGAGATGTCCACGTCACTCGCTTGCGGTTGGTTCGACGCCGATGCCGCTCTCGAGATCACGGCCGAGTTGAAGGACGTTTTTCAGCATGCTTTAACGCAGGGGGAGTTCGAGATGGCGGCGATCGTGAACGTGTTCGACTCGGAAGATGGCCCTGGGTTTGATATAGAAGTGTAATGGGTTGGTTTCGACAAGGAAGAGAACACCTGCGAAGAGCTGTCAAAGATCTGGGATGCCGCGCCGCAGTTTGTCAAATTCGAACTGCGGCAGCTGGGTCTGCCTAAAAACGTTCGCGCTCAGTTGAAGCACCAATACGGCATTGCTTTGAAAGCGATTCGTTTGAGTCGAGCGAGGTTCGTCTTGTTTCCTTATAAATAGCCTTTCTTCGCTGGCTTCTTTCGCATTGGTCACTATTTGTTTAAGTCGAATGAAGGCAATCTTGTCGAGTGTTGATAGCATTTCTTCGCTGACTGCTTGATGTGTATTCTCTCAGCATGTCGCGCGATGATTTGGTTATGGTTTGTCTGAATCTTGCATGTCGTAGCCGTCTCTACTCTCCCCTCCGGTGGAACTTTGCCTTCGGTTTTCCTCCTCCAGAGTCGTCGCTTTCGCTGCTGGCACGGCGTAGTGTCGTTGCCACTCGCGTTGAGACCCTCTCCATCACCGATATGCACATACTGTTGCATGCGGCCGGTTGTGCAACACATGCGGCGCCGATGACCATACTCACCGCAGGCAGTGCAGTTGCCTTCAAAGAGTGGTGGCGCATTGCAGTCGCCGAGTGAGTGTCCATGCCTCCGGCATTTCACGCACTGATGGACGGCACCCATCGGAGCGCCTGGCTGCGGAGCTGACTCCTCTTGCAGGTAAACGGTATTGCTTCCACAGCCAAAGAGCCGCGCAAATCCCCACGTCGGGAAGTTAGGAGATGGGTGGTGTGGAGGTGGTGGTTGAGGACGAACCCACTGCTGCTGATGATGATGCTGCTGCCGCCACCGCCATTGTTACCTCCTCTGACCGTCGCCGCCGTGACCGAAACTCAAACCACCGGTCGCCTGCGCTTTGCCCAATTCCTTCATCATGTTGTTGGCGTATGCCGCGCGAACAACTTTTTCCACCTTCGCTCGGGAAATGGTAGGGTCGGCCAGGATGGACTTGCGTTCGATATCGTATTGGTGCGCAAGCTGGCGGATAAGGATATGCACCATTTGCCGCTCGGATTCTTCAGTGCCGACAGCGTTCATGATGTTGACCACTCTGTCTATTCTGGCGAAGAAAAACTTCGGGTTGTCGCCGGGATATGTCTAAATCATCTCAAGTCGCCTCACAAGCAACGTCTTTTAAGCGTCAAGAGTAGGCAAAAGCCTTTTGTGCACCACCTTCTACGCCTCAGGGACACAGTCGCAAGCAGCTAACCGTTCTTCGATCACCGTGCCGTAGGTTGCTTCTAGCAGAAGTCCCCATGCCCGCTTGTGTGGTGTAACAAGCGCTGCACCATGAACCCGGTTCAGATATGTGCGATCCAAACAGCTGATGACAGGAACATGTTCAGTGCGGTGGGTGTCTTCAAGGGTCTGCTCCAAACCCTCGATAGCCAGGAAATTCCGCATTCTCCGCAGCCAGCTCACGGCCTTTGCCAAATCTTTTGGGGATTTGGGCGCGTTCCGGCGCGTGCGGGCAAAACCACCCGCCGCTGCTGCCCTTGTGTTACGGTATCTATCTTCCAAACCTTTCCCTACCGACGTCAGCCGACTCCACGATATCGTGTTTGGGATGTCGGCGCGTGTACTATGTTATCACGCTCGCGGGCTCTTGTCGAGAGCGTATTGCACAAAGGAGTGACTCAAGTTCCTTGATCATTAGAGAGTTGACAGACGTGAGCAAGACGAGGCAAAGCCCGCTGCACCAAGTCTGTCTGTCATACCCACGTATATTACATCTGCGTACTCCCCTGGGAGATCTCGGAGACGTGTATCCTGCCGAGTACACAAACATGGTACAAGCACAAAAATGAGCACCGACACAAAGGACAGCACGCTTTGTATAAAGACGCTGTCCACCCGCCCTGCTGTTTTCAACACTAGGGGCAGGGATCAGTGTCACAAACTGGTTGTCGCCTGCGATTTCTCAAGTCCTTCCGCTCATTTTTCTCGTGGTGACCCAATTATGACCCCCCCTTTTTATCGCTCCCTGCCGAAAGGTGGACTTACTCAACAATCATAGAGAGGTGGCGGCGCTGAGGGTCAGTATCAAATACGTGACCAATCCGAAAGAGTTAGCGTGTCGGAGGCCCTATTGCTCTACTGCTGCGTGGTGCCGTGGTTTTTTGGGGCTGTCTCCGACCCCAAACAGGCCATCTCACCGAATTGTTTCAAACGGCAATTTGGTGAGGTTGTACACATGTCTCACACACCTTCTAGAGCAGCACCCGAGCCCCCAACACCCACGAAGCAACACAGCGCCGGGAGTAAGTATCCTATAGACAGTCGAACCGAGGGAATCAGCGCGTTGAAGGTCTTGGAGCTGCTCCTGTCCTCATTCTACTGTTCCGTGTTGGTCATATAAATATATGTGGTACAAAAAAAAACGCGCCTCAACAGTAAGTGTCGAAGACGAGGGCACCATGCCATGTCTCGATTTGGACAAACAACGACCTGCACGCGGCTTCTACAGCAGTTCTATCCGCCGTGGCCACGGTGCGTGTGTGCCTGTGCGTGTTTTCTGCGGCTGCTGCAATCTGCTGTGTGTTTCGGAACAAAAAACATGCTGTCTCCCCTTTGTAATCAAGCAACGTAGTCTAAAACCTAGATAAAACAGACACGCGCAGAAACTTTGTTTTCTTGATGGAGCCCCATGTTGCGCTTAGACGTCAGGTCAGAATAGAAAGCTCGCTTCGCTCGAAAAACAAATCTCACAATCTATTTCTGCAAGTCCTGACCGGAAATTGGCATCTTCAGCTCATTTGAAACCTCTGCGGCACGGCTTCTATTCATGACGCTCACGCCTAACGTCATTTAAAGTGGCACCGATTAACCGCATGTTGCCATTGAATGTCTTGCGGTAACCTCCCACCTTGACATGTTTCCAAATTCCCAAGAGATCATGGCGCGAGGGGTATTTTTTGTGCTTCGGCATCGATGCATATCTTGCGTGGCAGGAAGTGTTTTCTCGCGCTTCCCTCTCGGCGGCTCGCACGAGGCTTCATCGATACGATAACAGGCATTCAGGCATGCATGTTCGAAGCTAGACAGATATCCTTGACACGTATACTCGTTGCACAACGTCGCACAACGTCGCGGGGACTGGCTCTCTTTCGCTGGAACGTGCTCTACGAACGACAATGCATGGTGAACCAATTCCCGTCGAAGACAAGAGGGAGAAACAAATGCCCTCACGATATTTTATGTCTCTCGCTACCAACAACAACTAGCCGTTATTTATAGTTGTTGCATGGCATTATCCACACAATACTAATCTCAAACCCCCGCCCGACACTGCACCATTGCACCAACCGCCGCGAGCGATGACGCGAATGGGCGGGATCGAGTGGCCCGCGTTGTCTTGAGTGTTGCTTTTGTGTTGTTCTGTTTGTTTGTTTATTGCCTGCCGCTACGGCATGTTTCCTTCCCTGTCTGTCTTTCTCCTTCTCTTTACCCTCTCTCCATCTGCTCTCCTCCTCTCCTTTTTTTCTTTTTATTTTTCTCTTTCTTTTCATTTTTTCTTTCTTTGTGCCCTAGACTATAGCCTTCATTTACTTTCATTGGCTTGCGGAATCTTCGAGTCGGTTTTATTTTCGTATCCCTTTTTTGGGTAAGTGAGCCTGTGACCACGGGAATCGACCCCGTCAAGTGTTTGACCAGTTAGTACGGGCAGAGAATACGGGACGGTTTTTAATGTGAAGACAACAACAACAACAACAACAATAACAATAACAACAACTAATCTTGCTTCCACAAAGCTTGCTGCGCCGTTGCCTCCGTTTGTTGTATAGCGCTTAGGAAATCAGCCCATTTATCGATGAGATTGTGATGAATCAACCCAACGAGTATGGTCGGCGTTGCCTGTCTCGAGCTCTTTTCGTGTAGCGAGTAGCCGCGGGTAGAATAGACGGCTGGCTTCGAGACATCGCCAATCAACAGCGGATACATACGGGAGAACAAATATACAGAGGTGAAAGGGTGTGCCGGTAGAGAATTTCGCCGGTCACCATTGCTTGTAGGGTGTTCACATCACGAGTCACCCCAGTCGGACGGCTTCGTCCCGTGATCACAGGCCAAGAGGACCCAAAAAGAATACACTGTCGTATGTAGAAAGGAAAATACCCCGCAAGGGTACAAAAAACACATAATAACCGAAATTCAGGATGTCACGGAGATCTGATACATACTTAAAAGCAGCACACAACGTTCACGTCGTCTGTGAAACGCGCGGCTGCACGTACGTACCAGGTGTGTAACATTTGTTGCAAGCGCGGATAAAATCCGCATCTCGCGTCTCGCATGCATGGTGGAACGGAAACGACCCAAAACAGAACTGATCTGAGGTACCACGTCTGGAATGCTACATATGCTCGGTTGTTGCGCTTGGCCTGTTACGCAATCTAAGATTCGAACAATTAGGAACTCCTTGTTGCTTCTTCTCCGAGCGAAAATTTTTATCATAGAGGCGACAAAGAGGACGGCAAGCCGGTGCAGAGCAAACAGCGCATATGCTGTGGCACACACGGAACACGAAAGAATCTCATCGGATATCTGAATGCATTGCCCGTGTGTATTTATGTGCACTCGTGTGTGCATGATATATGCATATTGTGTAGCACTTTTGGTGGTTGCCTTCTTTTTCATAGGTAGGACAGCGTTTTCTCCAACACTTTCTTGTGCATGGCACTTAGAGGACCCGTCGGTATATTCCCCGCTATGCGTGGGTCTCGTGAGACATTGGCGGTGCGTATATCGGGCCGGCTAAAGTCACCGAGACTGGCTCTATTTTCAGGGACTGGGAATCCGAAGCAGAAAAGCCTAAATTACTGATGCATGAAAAAATGAATGAAGCGGAACACTTTCTTAGCGCGGTATTTTCGTTTTCCTCTTTGGCGGTCTGTTTGGTTGGTTGCGCGTGTCTTTTCCATGATGAGTGTTTCGCGTTGTTCGTCTGTTGCGAACAAACATGATATTGAAAGACCAGCTGGGCGATGGAGCTCAACACATACGGTACATGCAAATGAATCAAGGGCGAAAGAAAACCCACCAACATTCAAAAGCATTGGCATCGGTTGGAATTCGATAATGCGGCGGAGTGTTTTTTTTCAACCAACCGGTCGCCCCGGTTGTTAGACATACTCGCAGCAGTTTCCGGTCGTGAGGATCCCAGGGGGATATGTGTTGGGAAATTCGTATGTTGAAGGGTACCACCGGCGCAGTCACGGGGACCGTTTGGGCGTGGTCGGTGCGATGATGAGGCTTTTGTGCGTGCTGCGCACTTCGTCCCTCCCTCTCTCCACCGCCACCACCGTCTCTCTCCAATCAAATTTCCTTCTCCCACTCTCTCTCCAACTCTCTCTCAACCTCTCGGCCACACACGGCCGACTACCCAGTTCCCCAAAGTAACGTCCAGAAGGTGCTTGCTACACCCCGCGTAGTTTACCTTTCACCGGTGGTCTAGTGGGTAGCCTCGCAGCCTTTTAAGGGCCACGTCATGGGTTGGAGTCCCGGCAGAGTGAGTGTTTTTTCTCAATAAATAAATCCTGGTCTAGGATGTAATCGACGCGCTGCGATGCTCGTTGTTAGTAAACCATGACCGACTTCGTAAGTCGCGAGGGAAGTGAGTGCTGTACCCTTCTCGCGATAAAAATACCTCAGGCAGGAACCGTAGGAGGGGGTCCAGCCCCCCCCTCCTATGTGACCCCGGTTGGGTCGTCTAGCTAGTAGAAGTGGAGGATAGGGGCCAGAGGGGCAGACGGCAGAGTCTAATGATGGGAGAAACAAAAAAAAAACAGCACTATTCTTTCTTGTGCAGTCCTAGGTGTGCCGCAAACAGCACAGCTGTCAACCACAGATGTAAACAGCGGTTTTTCATGGCCGCAGAGGGGACCAAGGCTTCTGATTGATGTTGCTTTTGGGAACAAACACACCACGCGATACAGAAGTCCTCTCGCACAACTCTAGCAGCGGTCATTTATATTTCAATTGCGAAAAATCGAAAGATTCAAACATCCAAACATGTGGTAAGCAGTCGATGTCTGTCACCGTTCTTGGGCACGTTGAGCGTCTCTTTGATCCGTTGTTGGCGTTGCGTGAAAAAGTCCCACAGACCATACATGGGCAACACGATCACACAAGAAGCGTCAGTGTCCAAACGCAGCGGACTAATACCCCGCACATAGCAAATTCCAGGTAAATTGCGCGCAAAAACCCACACTACCGAACGGCATGACGTTGAGATGCAAACATGCGACCGCGATGACATTGCTTGGCCGTGTCCTCTGGCGTCGCCCCTGGGAGACCTAACTCCCGCACGGGAACCTTGTTACATGTACATCAAGATGTGCACCGGCAAAACTATCTGCTGCTGATGATGACGACGCGGTTGATGCTGCCAAGCGGATCCTGAGATTCATATTTTTCCCAAAATGGTGTTCGAGCGACAAAAAGAGCGATTGAGCAGCACTGTATGCGAGTTCGTCGTATCATGATTTATTGGCAATTACTAGGTCCGCTGGTATTGTCCACATACAAATATTTACAAGACCACCGAAATGAACACAACCGTCGGACGCACCCTTTGACTCAGCGGGGATTTAGATTAGCAAATTGACCCGTAGCAGCATCGGCGGCGCGACAGCACACATACCGAACGCGTGTGAGGACTCCAACAGAAGGCGCAGGAGGCCGGGAACAACAGAGTTTTGTAATACCAGTGATAGAGAAGGCCCTCTGGCTCAAATCACATCACCCTTGTCCCCGAGCGTGTGTATCGATTGCGCGGGGGAGAGGATACATTATTCACAATAAAGAAGGAAGCACATCAGCATCCATCAACTCTCATGGCGACCGAAATACAGCACAAGATGCATAGATGGGCGAACGAGATCCTCGTTCCTCTTGAGATACTGGCGAGCTTCCGGCTGCTGCTTCGATACTGTATGCAAATAACTTTCCAGAGTATCGTACTCTCTCTGCATGTCACCTCTCGCAAGCCTCGACGTAACGTTAGTGGGCCTTCAAATCCATCTTCCGTCCAATCGTTACCCACCTTTGGCATTGATCGTGTGTTGCACTGATTGCTTTTTTGCCGAAGTGAATGTCCGCATCCAACAACCCGTAAAAAAAAAAAATCATGGAATCGCTCCAGAGGTGCCGACGCTCCGAAGCCATGGCCTTGTTGAAGCGCTTGGGAAAACGAAGGTCGCTGGCCTCGTTGCCTGGGAGTTCAGGGAGTTGATCCGGCGGTCGCTGGTCGTGCAGCGTGGCGTCCATAACTTCCCGGTTCGCGAGGAGCGTTGCAAAAGGATATGGTGTGTCTGCTCCTCCCACTCCCCCCGGGTCCACTGCTGCAATAAATCCCGCCTTCTCTTCGGCCGCCGCTGCTCCCCCCAGCTCCTTGCGCTCCCCATCCACAGCGCTCCGAGCCTCCAGCGTAGACACCCGAGTGTTCCTGCCCAACGTCGAGATAAAGCCCGTGCTGTGCCTAGCGTCCGATCTCGTGTGGCCATGCAGCCGCGAGTCTTGCAAACCCTCTGTCTTCTTACCTGGGCCAAGCTGTCGAATAGCGTGTGCCGTGATCGGGGGCATCGCAGGGTACGGCCGCGGCGGTGGCTGGCCCGGAGAGCACAATGGCAACGGTGACGGACGCGCCAGGAGGCGGCTGGCCCGCGGGGGCAACGGCGGGGGCGACGCCGCGGGCGGTGGTACCGTGGCAGGAAGCGGCGTTGAAAATATGCGACGGGGGGCGGTGCGGGAGAGGGCATGGTTGTTGGCGGCGGCGTTGCGATGGAGAGCGACTGCCCTAAAGAGGGCGACGGCGAAGATGCTGAACTAAAATTGTCCGAGATGACCGGCTCGTGGGCGTGGGAGATGTCGGCATAGCGGGGATACCAGAAGAACCTCCCTCACCGGCTGGCGCCGTCGCCACCCACGCCATGTTGTTGGTGTAGGCAACGCGGCCGGGCTGAGCATTCAGGATTTTCACGATACCGCTCGAACGTTTGCCGCCGCGAATCTGGCCTGGTCATCGAGCTTTGTACGGCGCTTCTCGCGAATGTAGCCAGGCTGCAAGAAGGCAGCACCCACGACGGCGCTTGCTCCCCCCACTGCGTTCGTCTCCGATTGGTTGATCGCGTCAGCAGCCACTTCATCCATCCCAGTCAAAAGGCGTCACCGCGCTTGTAAGGCCGGGCATGGAAGAGAAGTCGACGTTGAAGACACATGGCTTCATGATGCGTCAAATGGCACTCAAAAAATGCGGAACATCAGGCGGAGTGCAGAAACGCCGAAGAGTATCACGAGTCCACTCGCTCGCATCGCCGACGCGAAAGCACTCGATGGGCCCATAAGGACGCCGCCAGCAACCATTTCGCGGCGGCCAAAGCGTCGGGCTTCCTCTGGCTTCCAGAGCAGACCGCAGATGAGTTGCACCGCACTTGCTGGTGTTCCTCCGCTTCTATAAAGCACATGCTGATGGCAGCTGCTGTTGCGACGGCTGCCATGTTGAGAATAACCACGGGAACATGATATATTGAAGCGCCTTTATCGACGTCCTGGTTCCGGATCACAATTGGAGGTTGACGTCCTGCCCGCTGGTCGATGCTCTCCCTCTCCTGCCTCGCCGTGCACTGGCTCTCTTCATCGGGTTTCAGAAGGTATTTGCGATTGTACTTGTAACGAACAGATAAAGAAGCGCGTCGTCAAAAATGCAGGGCCTCCTCTCGATGCCTCACAATTACACACGTTCCCTGCCCCCAATCTTAACCCCCCTGCCCCTTCCTTTTGTTCGCCGGCAGTGATCGGCTGATGCTGCTCGGCTGTGCTCTCCCTGAGATGTCAAAGGGGCACCGCCATATCTTGAATGGTGTCATGGGGACGACCGGTTGTTCTCTCGTCTGCGGAAATGAGGCAACCCGCCTGTCGTGTCCTTTCTGCCTCTCACCCTCTCCCTCTCTCTCTCTGCTGTCAAACTTGGATCTACCGTCGATCCCTGGACAGGGCGTGTGTAGCGATGTTTTCCCGGCCCAGGTGATCATGATGAATGAATATTCCTTGCCATCGACTGACAAGGTTACACGTGTGGATGACCATGACCCATGGGAACATGAAGCTGCCACCGCTAGCATGCGCGCCCTGCCTGACCTCTGTCCAATCTGCTTTGCGCCTAACCGTTTATTCCTCAGAGCACGACGTAGTGGTGCTATCGCAGTTTCTCTCCTTGGCTTATTCCAGCCTTTACGCGGTTTCGTTGTCAACACCTCCGTCCCCCCGCTGGCGGTGCCTTCAACTTCCGGAGGTACGAAAACATGTGTCTCGATCTCATCATGTCAGCTACATGTAGCCTTGTTCATCAGTATCCTCTATCCGTCCATGTACACGACAGCACTGCTGTAGCTGTGCCTACATGTGCCATCTCTCCCCCCCAACTATGTTCCTCAACAACAATAGAGGATTCCTTTCAATGATGTACCTGGCGTGCTGCTGTGGGATGTATTTTGGATGGTGTAATCGTCAAAAGCGAGCGCGCGAGGGCGCCGTTCGCAGCTGTTGCCTGATGTCACTTGCATCTCAGGAAAAATATGCTCCTTGGATACAAGCCGTGGCCGTTGCGTTGTGTGTTGTTTCTTTGTGATTATTTGCGACAGCTCCAATTTTTTTTATTCCATGATATTAGTCCAGCTACTGTAGTATCTTTTCCCAACACAGAGCTGTTGTGCGCACTCGTAAACAACGCTGTTGTTGCACACCATGGGGAATGCTCCTGAGGTATCCTGTGAGTAGGACCGTAGTGCCATGGTTGGAGAACCTGGTATATACATACTGCTTCTGCATACGGAGTACTGATGTAGTGGCAGTTGTCGCATCGAATCCTTGACATTTTTTTACCATAACGCCCATATCCTCTTTGTGTGCCGCCGGGGTATCTCTCCGATGTTTCTCAGTATCAAATACGCAGACCACGCGGATACATGCAGGCCCACGCGAGATGGTGTCGGCTGCTGTAGCGTCTTCTCCCACAGAAGCTGCCGGCGCCACCGACGGCGAACGGGCAATTATCCTTTCGATCACCGAGAGGGCCAGGTAGATGCTCACCAGAGTGTGTGCTCCGAATTCTAGAAAAACGGTGATATTCGGCTCGACCAACTAATGTTATCTCTGTGTGTTATTCGAGCAGCCTGATGCCAACCGGCAGAACGTACTGCGACATTTCAATCATTTTTTCGTGTCGCAAGGCTTGCGCGATCCCACAGTCACGTTGGAACGCTCGTAACTTCGCACATGCCGCGCTCTGTTTTGTCCTGTTCTTCGTAGGACGGTGACACATGTTGCTGACTCGGGCACGTTGTGCACACTGTCGAGCAGTGGAGAAGCCGGACCGGAAGGTTCCCCTTTCGGCAGCCACGTTGACTACGTGCTCGATGAGCAGGTTAGTCTGTGTGACTGGGTCTGCGGGGGCTGTCGTCGAAAAGTCAGGATACAAGTGTACTCCTTCAATCGTAACCAGGTCTCACGTATCTCATCGCCTATTGCGAACATGATGAAGCACGAGCACAAGGAAAGTGTCAACGAAACAGTACTTTCGCCGAGTGCAATCATCGGTCGGAATTTGACATTGGGGGCGCGCAGAGAAAAGGGGGCCAGTCGAGAAGTCTAATAAGTGATGGTAGGGTGCCTCATGAACTGGACCGCACAGCCCGAAGACACACAAATTAAGGTCTGGGTATCGGGACAAGTAGATACGATTTCCACGCCCGACCAGCAGGCGCCCCCATAGCGGCACGTCCGCGTCGTTTCGAACACCGTTGGCGTACGTCTTAGTCGGCTCGTGCGTGTGTGTGACCTCCCCTTGAGTGTGCTTGGACCTTTTCTCTCCCTTCGTGCAACATCACCGTGTGTCGGCAGGGCTGGCCAATTTTCCTTCTCGCGGAAGCATCACTCCACACCCAAAACATCAAAGCCAGTAACAGAGTATCGCTGCTTTGCCAAACTCCTCGCGAAGCCAATGGTCAACCGGTGAGCCCGACGTTTTGTTGAGCTGGTCGGTCGCCGCGTGCTGGGTGGCGTGACATGTGTTCCATGCGTCCGATCTTATCAAAATATGTCGCTAACGCCATATCCTTTTGGTGTAGAGGTGCACAGTGCAGACAAACCACCAGCTACACTGGGGTCGTAGCATGCACTTGTTTATGGTTTGTGTAGCCCTGGCAAGCAACCGCAACACACACGTATCGTCGGTAGAGCATGAACTTCTTTCTGGCACTCACACTGCCGAGTGTGAACCGCTGTTCTCTCTGCGCCAACTTGTTCGTTTGCCCCACACGTTGGCAGCAAGCAGCCCTGGCGCGAGTGACCCTTGTTGGTGCTATCGTGGACGTGGATGATGACGACGAGCTTATCCAACTCAAGTGAGAGCTTGCACGAATCGCACATGCCATAATATGTGGTATGATACCTATCAGCAAATACCGAGGGGGCTGGCGAATGGCCTATCACCGAAACAATCAAGTCTGCCACGTTCTCGACTTGTGGGCTCTTGTTCTCATGTCTTCCCGGTATACTGTATGCTCCTCATATTTTTGGCCCCATACGTGGCCCATTTTCCCAGGGCTTCATTCTCCCTGGTGCACACTTACGCTGACCAGCTGACGCAGTCACCGAGATTCAAGTTTTACAAGGTATGTGCCTGGGTAGCGGCAGCAGTACGTGGGGGCATCGATGTCAAGTCCAGGTTCTGTACATGTTTTGACGCAGTGGAATCAATTGTATCCTGCTCGCCAGTGGATTTGAGCCCTAATCACCGCTTCAGACCATTCTAGTCCTCTCAACGAGGGTATATGTGAATTTGCTGTGCTTGCTGCTGTGCTGCCGAGACAGCAGTCGGAACTCATTTGGCATGTATCTGCGACCCCTTGTTGCTATTTTGGGATGACGTTTTTGGGGCTACTGCTGTGGGTCACTCTCTCACCGCCGTCTCTTTATATTCATCACATATTTGCACCACGTTGAAGCTCAAGCCGGATAAAGTGTACTACGTGGGCGGGTTCGGAGTGTTGTCCAAGTGGCTGCCTGTCAGCGAGTACGAGGTGAGTCGAGCAGTTTAGTGTTGACTACGTCGATAAAAACCCTGTGGTGAGCAGTCCACACTGGTTTCTTTCAGCGTGGCGTTTTCTTTTGACCTGATGGCGCGCGTGGAGTAGAAACTGTTCCTGCTCTGTTCGATTGCCTGCCATCAGAAACCGGAGCACAGCACTATTTGCCAGTTCGCGCATCGCGGCCGTTATAGTTGAACTCCAACCGAGAGCATGCACTCATGCAGAGATTGGGCTGTGAAAGCGTTCTTTGAAAGAGATTGTTCGTTTGTTGCTTGCTCCTTGGCAGACGGCGGAACCAGACATTTTGGCAGACGAGGCCTCGTCCATTGTGTCCAAGATCAACAACAGCAAGTGAGTGAAACCACGCCGGGGGTGTTTTTCATTGGAGTGACCAAACCTGGTGAACACGAGTTTAAAGGCCCAATTTTACACCAAAACTGTGGCGTCTGCGTCGTCGCGTGCCAAGTATTTCAAATGTTTTGTGAATCCCTCGTGCCACCAAATGCTTAGCACTGCATTTGCTGCTTACCTGTGGTCGTCAAGATACGAAACGTTGCATGCCGTTGCGTCCGTATCATTTGAAATATAGGCAAGAGGACCTTCGGACTGTCTGCAAGCACTTTCTCAACAAAGCCACCCCGGACACGGTAGCAGTTACGACCGTGGACCGTCTCGGGTTAGACTTGAGAGTCAAAGCCAGGGACTTAACGGATGAGTTCAGGATCGGTTTCCGGCAACCGGTGAGCTACCCGCGTTCCTTTTTTTTGTCGTGCCCTTTTCGTTGTCGAGTGCTTTTATTTTCTCGATCGCTGTGGCCACGTGCTCACTGCTTCGTTACTTGCAAGCTTCGCTGCTTTGCACTGTATTGTATCTTCTTGCAATTTCGTGATTCCTCTCATTTTATCGGGTCGTGGTCGACGTCGTTGTCGCTGCTGCTGCTGCTGCTGCTGCTGTCGTTGCCCTTTTGACAATCTAAATCTTCCTGACCTCTATTCAGTACCTGTTCGTCTCCTACTATTGGAGGAAAGAAACGAATTCCATTATCATGATCTTATCCTAACCCAAGAGGGGCATATATAAGCGGAAAAATTATAGACTTGATATGCCACTGCGATGGATCCACGTAAGATATGGGAAGTCAACCTCGGCCGTTTTTACCCAGTCGGAATTGGAGCTTGGAAATGTGGCGTTGTCGGCTCCGACAAAACCAACAGATTGCTTCTTCAAACGACTTCGAATGCTGCAGTCGTTCTGATTTTAGCCTATCGACCAAAAAAGTGCTGTCGTGAAGTATTTTTCGTTTGTTTCGCTTGCTACACCGGTTTGTTTTTTCGGGGATCCCTCCCAACTGGCTAAAGCAACAGCACAACAAAGCCTCCCCGCGCAGCTGTTCTTATGGAAATGTTTTCAGTGATATGCATACGCATTACATCATATTTCCAACTGTATATTGGTCAATTGTTAGGCCTAAGCCAAAGAGTCGCATGTCGAAGTTGCATGTCCGATGGGTAAAAAACGGACTTACCCGGACAGACACATGGTTTGGGTCGTGGTGTACATCGGGACTGTTTTTACAGGGCGATTATTTTTTAAGCCTGCGGCTCCTCGTACGTGTACGAGGCCGTGTATGTGCGTTCGAGTAATGAAAGCACAGGAGGATGTGGGGAGTTCAATAACATGCACTAGTTGAAACTATTGATTGCTAGACTATCCTCATTTTTGTTTTCATCGACTTGCGATTTTTAGTCTGGGACAAAAGAAGCATGTAGCGATATCCTAGCTCTGGCTGGGCTTGAGTTGCCTCCTTGGGTGCCATCCGCTCTTTTTATCATTGGCCTCTTGGGTTCTGGCGGGAGGGCTTACATGGGTCTTCGTTGCGTTTTAATACGGAGTTTGCGAACATCGGAATTCGATTTGATTTCGATCTTTTTTATCCACCCGAGCGCCGAAGACCGCGGGATCTTTTAGGAATTTGATCTTTCGCTTTATCGAATTGCCCTCAAAGACCGCAGAAAAGATCGAATTCCATCTTGCTTGCATCTATCTTTTTGGGAACAGTTTCTGGTTGGCCTGTACTTCCCGAGATACTCCCGACGTTGTCCGGACACATGCCGCACCAGCCCGTGAGGCTAGCTATGCACCCACACCTCGGCCGTGATACACACTACCATGGCGAGCCAGCTACAGTACCGCAAGACAGTTAGACAGTCGTCACTGCACGCCAGACCCGGTGCAATGCATGCTGCCGATATGGTGCATTTGCGCCCTTTGAACCGCAGCATACCGTTCTACATGCTCTTCTTGAGTGACACACCAAGTCGGCGTGACGAGGATGACGGCGATGCTGCGAGCGGCATAGATCTTAGGAGTGCTGCACAGGTGGAGGCGGAGGTGACGGGGTTAGGGATGCTTCAAGCGGCGTGGGAGCGTGAAGAGCTGCTGTGCGTGCGTCCTGTGGACCGTGCTCCGGTGATACGTCTGTCGCGGACGATCGACTCCGTTGATGACTGCGACGCGTATCACTAAACCGCGGGGCAGCGGTAGTAGGAGGAGGAGGTCCTTGGCCTTCGTGCTGTGTGTTCACCGAAACTCTGGCGAGGGGAGCGGCCCTCGCCGGAGGACTCGTGTTGCCATGAACACCCGGCAACTGAACCGGGCCAGCCTTCTCATGAGTACGTTGACCTCCATCGTTCTCCATGATTGTTTAACAGCGGTTGTGAGTGTAATGTGGTGGTAGCCTTGCGGTGGGGGTGGAGGCGGAAGGTCTGATGTAGGTTTTGCCGAGCGGGACCAAGTCTGCTGCCGAAAAGAGCCGAAAAGGGGTCTTCGCCGTAGTAAAATATTGCGTTCCTGGAAGTTTCTGCATGATCAAGACCACAAAATTTCACTCGCATCTTCGCAAGCTGTTTTCGAAATCAAATTTTGATCTCATCTCGAACTTCCTGGCAACTTCGAAGATGAAATCCCAACACCAGTCCGCAAACACCCTAATGATCGGAACACCCAGCGATTTCAGTTGGTGACTAGTAGAACTTGCACAGGTGTCTTCGACATCAGAACAGACCAGGGAGATTGAAGTCACTGACACGAATCTTGGCGTATTGGACCGCAACATGCTCATCCGAATCGTGACTACTAAATATGGGAACAGGTTTCATCGGTAGAGGACGCCAAGAGCGAAATCGTCAAGATTTTCCAGGAAGCATGGGAGAAGGAGAACGGCTTTGAGTGGGAGGACCAGGGACCACCCATCCAACGATACGCCCAAGACATTTTGAGAGCGTAGCGCAAACATCCCATCGTGAGGGGGGATACATGCAAGCGCGCCTGTACGCAAGAATGCACGCGTATGTTTTTTCTCTTGGCGTCATCGTCGAGTCGGTGTAACCAACCAGTTGCTTTCAGCATTGCATCGTTGGCCGCCATGTCTCCACACGTCCTGGGAGCGTCTAATGCGAAGTCCAATTTTTGACCTGAACAAGTCTGTCCACTAATCCGCTGGGGATGCAAGAAAAAAAATAACTTGAACATGGTACAACAGCACATGTGATGGAGCAGCCGTTATGTGGTTGTTCCTGTTTTATTGAGGCACAGATTCCAGTTTTTCAGCGCCTCCCATGTAAGGCCGAAGAACATCCGGAATTCTGACAGACCCATCGATTGGGTTGTAGTAGTTCTCCAGGACAGCCACAAGCGCACGGCCAACAGCAACTCCTGATCCGTTGATGGTGTGGCACGGCAAGTTGCGTGACTTCCTTTTCTTGGCTGGAAAGGGGTAAGACGAGTGCGGCATCATCAGAGAGGGGCGATGTTGAGACGAGCTAAAGTTCAACCCGATATAATGCGCGTCACGAGTCCAAGTACAGCATACTCGGTTCACGTTACTTTCTCTCGTGATTAGTTTGATGCGACAGCATCGTGAACCCGACGCAAAAACTACCCTAGTATATACGTCACAGCTAAATGTATAATGCACAAGAGCCTGCTGCGGCGCACAGGGCCTGTCATAGTAGGTTATAGTGTCCAAAGAAGACCGACCAGCAACTCGTGTGCCGTTCTCGGGCGTACCTTCTGGCGTCGGTTCTCGGTAGCGTAGATTCATGCGACGCGCCTGGAAGTCTTGGCAGTTACTGCACGACGAGATTTCCCTGTAGGCACCTTGTCCGGGCATCCAAACTTCCAAGTCGTAACACAGACGTGCACCGAATCCAATGTCACCGCTGCACAACAATACTCTTCGAAAGGGTAGCTTGAGCGCCTGGAATATATTCGCGAATGCGCAATAAATTTGGGACAGCGATCAATACTCCAAAAGTCACAAGTAGACGGATAGTTGTGCCGGGTTGAAATGCCGCTGTGCAACATTTGCAACTTCTTCCAGCCCTTCCAACGGTTAGGTTACATACAAGAGCGCGGGTGCGGCCGCGGCCTCGTTCAACAGGAGCACCTCTCAATGGGCATCGGTAACGAGCGCTTGCGTGCGTGGGATACCGCAAAGCGCTGTGAGAACGTACCGGGGTGCCATGGAGGTAGGTTGTAATCAAGACGTATTTTTTTCAGAGGGGAAGACAAGTGATATTGACGCTGGCTCTATGTTCATAACTGTAATCCAATATGAAGCAAGAGAGCAACCGCCAGAGGGATCTGTTGCATGCTACTGTTATCAGTAGAAGACACCATGAAGAGGCGTCGTGCGTGCTGGCACGTTCAGGTTTGCTACTGGAGCTGAATAATCGAAGGTCACAGCAGCCTCTGAAAACAGTCCAAAATCCGCTCGGAACCAAGGCGAATCCAACATTTGCCATAGCCGTGCTTCTCGCCACGGACCGTAAACCACCGAACTGTGGGTCGTCAGCAGAAGCTAGTAGCATCAGCTACGCCGTATACCCGCAGTTCAGGAGATTGGGGTCAGTGGCGGGCGAGCACAAGAAGTACAAGGCACTGGGTGTCGGTCTAATTTGTGGAGTTGTACGGAGATTGTAGGCCACTACTACATGCACGACCCTCAATATTACCACCGCAGAACAGATTTGAGGGCACCCATGCACACACCCCGCTGCAATAGGGTGCCCTCTAGTGGTAATAGTACAAGAGATCAGACTCACAGCAACACCAACCTTGTTTGAAGCGCCTGCCGTTTTGGCTCTTTGACTTGAATTTGGAACTGTACATTTTATCTTGATTTCAAAGGAGGCGTGTCGACGTAGACGGGTGAAATGAATGTTTTGAGCAGCCTCTACTGCCGCCCTGTGCGAGAATCAACGATTTCTGTTTTTCGCGATGCCTTCCGACCGGTCTTGTGTCTGCCATTCCTGAAGAACTCTTCTGTGCCGATTCGATGCCCAAGTACAGAGTAACATCCACGTGACTTTATTTGATGCCTAGGTTCAAAACAACGTCCGGGTGTATTTAGTGTTTAAGCGCTCTACGGTTATTGCTGAAACTGGATTTTCCGATTAAAACAACTTTTACGAGGTTCACAACCACCGAATCGATGCTTGCTCAGAGGCACGGGTGGGACTTATTCGCACGCGTGGCGAACATGTCCTTCCCGTTCACACTTGTTCGAAGTGGATGAGTGGCAGTATCTTTTCACTGATGTTTTTGGATTCATTCAGCTGTAGCCCGTCCTCCACTTTGGACTAAAATAGCGCGTGAGAGAGTTAAAGCGGCTGCCTTCGAACATCGACCAAGAGAGAGTGACAGAAAGGTTCTCCATTTTTATTGGGCACCTTTTCGCTTGTACTATTTTTCACCCGACCACAAACTGCCACATGATTCTGAGCACATGCGTGGCTAGGCCTAGTCGCTCTGGTTCTCAGAGCTCTTTACTTTGACAGCCCAGCAAGCACGAGGTGTTTTAGTGACCTGTACGTTTGCATCATTGCATCAAGAAGAATGAGGTGGAAGAGTAGGTGAAAAAGAAAGAACAGACTTGCTAATCCGGGCGAAATATGGCCTTGTCACCTCCACACGCGCTCCAACTACCTGGCGCAACGACCACAATGAAACGTAGGGAAGACCACTACGGTTACAACAGAAACGTGTGTCAAGAACGTTTAATTACCCATGTAGGCTGTACTGGCTGCGTCCGCCGTCAGTAATATAAACTACAGTGACAGGCAGTGACCATTGCTCAACAGGTTCCTTTTTCAGAGCCAAGGAGATAAAAAGGTGCCCGTGACCGAGATACCGCCGCGAGGGCGGCCGCAGCGTGTGTGAGGCGAGGCGAGAGCGGATGGCACGGGGGAAAAAAATGCTTGAGTTCATTCGTTGTTTTTTTTCTCTCAACAGACACAACCTACACTACAGAGGGGGCTTGATAATCGCAAACCAGCGCACTCACCTTCAAAACGGCCTCTGCGTGCTGCGTCAGTGCCTCGTGCTCGTTGCGACTATCTTCAGGCGTTGTGAACTTCACCAACTCCACCTTGAACGTGCGCCATTAGCAACGGCCGAAGGGTACGACGAGGACGGGCCGCCTTAGCTCATGTTATTTTGATACCTTCATTTGTGTAGTCGGGTCATCAACATTTGGAGTTACCTTCAAAAACTGATGCTGGCGAAGTAGCCCGCGGGTATCCCGTCCTGCTGATCCCGCCTCCGCTCGAAAGCAAGGTGTAAGAGCCACCAAAGACATCGGCAGCTGCATGTAAGGTACGGCAAAGACACAGGGCAAAGACACAGAGGGTAACACAAAACTACAATTACCAATCATCAATGGTTCAGCTCTCACAGGTTGTAAAACATTGATCTCTGCAAAAACGCAATGTTTTGCCTTGCAGAGCAATTTCAGTTCATCAGTTATTGCGCTACAAAAAACAGCCACGTGCGTGGATATTTTCCTGCACCCCCCCATCAGAATTTATCAACCGTGAACGTCACACTTCAGCGAAGGACAATGTTCTCTTGGTATTTATAGAATGAAGCCTGGAAGGCGAAACACGCGGTGCAGTCTTCCTGGAGGAAAAACAATGTTTCATCTTGAGGGCGGTCGCACCCAAATGAGACAAGCGATACCAAGGCGAATCAACATGCAGTCTGCCACATGATTGCTGCGTCCATGCGCTTTTTGACGAAGAGCATTGTTCGAACCTGAGCTTTGTCGAGAAGCTGGCCTCGGAGGAGATTGGTCAAAGGAACTTCGCCGGTTGGAATCAAGAAGCTATCCTCATTCGCCACCAGATGGTTGGTTTTGAAGAGATCTTCTTCAAACTTTGGCAGCTGTCCTGTTCCTTCCAATGAGCTCCGTGTCACCAGTAGCGGGAGAGACACCTCTGTGTATCCATGCTCCGTCCTGTCGTAAGCAAAAACAGCCGGTGGCACGAGGCATACATGTGCACTCGTGTAGGGCAGGTGGCAAAGAGACCCAACGGCTGTTCCCTATCATCTCTCCCATTTCCGAATCTCGAAAACCGCGTACCCCAACCTACCGGTTAAATTAACCCCGGTTGGCACCGTATGCAAATAACAAACAACAAACCACAACCAAACTCACGTGTGAACATCAAGTAGCCACTGACCCAGAGCACGCTCCAAACGTGCGAGCGGGCCTTTCAACACAGAAAACCTCGCACCAGATATCCTCGCCGCTCCCTCAGGATCCCACCCTCCTAATTTTATCGCCACTTCGTCGTGCCAAAGATATTCCTGAGCAGCCACCGTCGGTTTCAGACGAGTTAATCCCTCAACCCAAGAACTTGTCAAATGAAAGAGTGAGGTTCAACAAGTTCCTGTTTCAATCCTTATTGTTGTCACCCAAGTAGACGCCCTGAACAACCTAAGTTGGGGGGGACGATGACGCCGATTGAAAAACAGGGGAAAAGACGGTAAGGCTCTTGCTGCCCAGAAAGCGGGACTTACGCATCGTGTGCAACAAAATACATTGGCAAAAGGGATTTTTGATTTTTGCAGAATCGAAGTACCCGAGTTGGCGGTAAAAGGTAGGCTGCTGTGCACCGCCGCCGTGCACGAGCTGCACCTGCCCAAGACATGTTCCGAGAAATGACATTCCGACATGGAGGCCACCACTTTCGACCAAGCCGTGGTAAGCTCTACTTGAAGTTTCTGTGCGCACGACACCGGCAGCAACCCCCGCCCTGCTTTTGGTCGGGATCGAAAGGGAGACGCACTACAGCAGGAGGGTGCTTTGTGCTATGTTATGTGGAGACGTGGCCGCTTGGTTGTCGCGTGTTGCGAGGGTGAGGTGCACCACGTCAGCGGCTTGCCGCATCTGTGAATGGCCTGCACTGTCAACAAACCGGGCCGTGACAGGTGGAGTCCTCGTAGGTCTCGGAGACTCGACTTTCTGCCCTCGCTAGCAGTCCGTCTCGGGAGCGCGCCGCACGGCGGGAGGGCCTTCGCGATACAGGACTATCCGTAGATGCAAGTCTCGCTACGAGGCGAGGTCTACGGATGAAGGAACCGCAAAATAAGGGCTCCAAGCTCACGAGAGCATCAGGATTGCCGTTTCTCCAATGCCGTGAGCTCTCAGCCCTTAGGAAAACAGTCTACAGGTCTAAAACTGTTGAGTTGAGGTACCGCTTTGTAATCGGTGTGTGGTTTGTGGCTATAATCTGCCTGTGTCTTGCCCGATGTGAGAGGTATCATGAGCAGCCGAGCCCATGGCCCCGACAGCAGCAGTTTGTGAACCTCAACATAGAGACTGCTCGACACCTATGTATGGGTGATGTGTGATGTGCAAAGAGAGACCCAGAGAACGCGCCGTAATGCACAGATGAAAAGCACTTACCTCCCCGTTCTTGATGTATTCCTGCCCCCATTCAGCCACAACAATGTTCTCCTCCTCCCCGTCACCATCTGGCACCCGCGAGTCCAGCAGGTTTGGCAGGCGCATCAATAACGTGTTCAAGTCGCTGTCCACCTGGACACGAGGCAAACCAAACCCCACCGACGACATAAAGAACAGTGCGCACAGTGCTGGTCTAGAACGGCGAATGAAATGCACCAGTTGAAGGATCACCCGCCACCTACGAAGGGATTCATTGATGGCATGACATGTTAGACTTATCCGCAAAATGTGATCAAGATGAGAGCGAGGCACCTACTATCACAGATTCGTCCCCCCAGAACACACAGTTTTAATAGCTTTGGTGTGACACGCTCGGTGGTACAAATGCGCCCATGCTTTCGCATCGAAGCCAAACGTTTTAGTCCACCTTGTTCAAATCTTCTTCGGCAGAGCCAGCGATCTTGTTGATGCTCTGTACTTCGTTCTTCTTTTCCTCGGCTTCTTTGGCCTGTCCTGCCTTCATCAGCTTGCCGATCTGTAAGCCAAACCAGCAACAGAGACGACACAGAGAAGACGGGATTCACGGACATTTACAAGATGGTTGTGACGAGAATAGTAGGGATTGCCGTTAGGTGTTGCCCCAATTAGTGGCACCAGTTTTTGTGTATTGTCCCCATCTATTCTGGGCGTCAGTCCATACCTTTCGGCAAGTGCTTGATGAACCAGCCGGGGTCGCACACGAGGAAGGAAAACACAGAAGACGTTCTGGGTCTCCACGTTTGCTTGAGGAATGTTGCGTTGTTTGTACTCACGACGTTCACCCAGGAGAGGTTCGAACCCACACAGACTTGAGACAAAATGTACTACGAGGTTACCAAATGTACCCGAGCTCTTGATCATAAACAATGAACACTAGATTCGTAGTTTCCCTCTACGAGACGTTGCGGTCTCTACAGGCTTTACAGAACGGAATGAAAACGTTCACTCCGAAGCTCCAAATAGTCTACATGCATCCATCCGCTGTGTATGATAATTCCGAACTGGCCCAATTTGAGCGTACGAATAGTGGACTCCCTGCCCGGGAATACCCTTCCAACGACAGGGTCGGGGCACACGTCTGTCACTTGCCCCACGGAGACATCGCTGCCACCTTACCCGCGCAGGATGTTCCGCCACATTTTCACAATTACTATTGTTCTGTTGAATGGCGGGCGCATACCATGTACTCCTGTATTGTTGTTGATGACTTCGTTCTTGTCGGAACACATCAATCCATTTGTACCTTATCCTCCACATATTTGAAACCCCGACCAATTTGCAGTTGGTTTGACAAGTCCTTCGATGCTGGAATAGCTGTGTGTGTTCTTTTCCCGCCAACGAAAGGTTCGGGCCCCACCTCTGCACCCTGAAACCTCTCACGTCGAGACCAGCTCTTGTTTTTGTTCTGTTTTTTTTTTCTAGCTATGGGTTCTGTCGGGAGACTGTCAGGAACGATCCTCAGAACGGTGGCCAAACTCAAAATCTGGTTCCATGAGAGAATTTTCGAGTCCGAATTCGTCTACACTACACCTTCAAAAAAAAAGACTCGTATTCGACCAGCACGGTTGCCCGAGGCAAGCTGCGATACAATTTTGGATAGAAAACCTATTCTCAAATAAACCCGTTCGAGGTATAACCCCAGTCGAAAGGGATATGTTCAAGTATATTCATCTGCTCGTCTGCTCATAGGCTCGTGGTCGGGCTACATGTAGTCACCCCGAATCCAGCGGCTGTTTCAACCGGGAGTACGTACACGTGTACTTCGACGTACAGCAGTACCAAGTACCAAGCTGGTCGGCGATCGGAGGTCGCATTTGTGAACTCATGGTGGTAACAGCAAATCGCGACACTTTCGGTATGTTGCAGCCGAGTAGACTGAGACTGGTGTACAGTTAGGCACGGCTCATCGTCTCAACTTGCCTGAGCTGACATTGCGTTCCGCTGTTTGAGAGCATCCTCCTTGGTCATGATGAGCTCGCGTCGGGTGTCCATGAGGTCTGCGCGGAGAGAGCGTATTTCAATGGCGTTAGGAGAGACGCATACCTGGTCTCAACGTTTAGAGAGTAGCGCGTTTTGCTCGCGCACAAACCCCGAGCGAGCTGGAGTTAGAGTTATCTCGGGTGTGTACATGTAAGACTAGGTATCTAGAAGTAGAGTGAGCACAGCCGTGGACATATTTTGCCACAACAGCAGTGCAGCATTGTGACACGCACCTCCTATCCTATATACAGCTTCCACGCTATCTTCACCCATCCGCCTAGCTTTCATATGGTCCACCACAAGATCTGGGTTCGTCGAGATCAGCAAGCTGTCCAGAGAGGCATCGTCAGCGTTACGACGGGAGAGTGACTCCTGATGTTTCGTCGTCTGTTCAACTTGCGCGCTTGAATGCAGCGCGGCGAACTGCTTGGCACCCGTTCGAGCGAATCGTGAGCCACCATAGAGGAAGGAACCGCATCGCGCCGTTGCGAAAGTGGCCACCGCCATCACTCGTGCACACGGCGTTATCATTGCCGCGTTGAGATAGGGCGGCCGCCTACTGCTGTGCATTGCAGTTACCCTCTGGTGAGATCATGTCGCCGGGGATTCGCAGGATGCTCCAATTTCCCCCCGGGGGAGTATGATAAAAAGACGGGCACGGCACCCCCAACCCACTGCTCGGCTGTGGGTTGTCACCGTCACTGATCCATCAACGCCCTTCTTCAACGCCGCGTAGCGCAAAACGAAGTCACCATGTCAGACGTCAATGAACTTTTGATTCAACCCCTACAAAAGTTCTCCAAGGACTCGATGCACCTCATCAAAAAGTGCACAAAACCCGACCGAAAAGGTTAGTCAAACTTTCGTTCTGTTTCGTCGTCTGAGGTGTGGTACGAGGGCATTTGGACGTTTGTTGTAGTTGCACCCAAGGCCTGTTGATAGCCCGTCGACACCGCCCAGCATCGATTCCCCTGTCCATTGCCACCACTGGAGTCCATGCGAGTGACTGGCTAGGGGGGTGTTGGGTCGTTAGGCTCCGAAAAGAGAAAGAGAAACCCAGGGTGTGTGCGGTGTGCGGGCCCTATGTAGCGAACGAAGCACAGGTGTCCAACCATCATCAGACTATCATTGAGACAGCAGACTACCTCCATAGGGCCAGTGCCCAAATGATGGTGTTCGTGTCGTATTGAACGGCGTCCGGTACGTGACACATTAGTTTTGTTCGCGTAACGGTGAAAAGCAGATGCCATTACTTTATGTCAAGACAACTCGACGATTCTTGTCAGCGACGTGCAGACTTGCGCTCCGCTGACCACATCAGTAGGTTACTTAAGATACCACATCTCGGTGTGATACCATCGTGAGATATAGACTAAAGAGTCTATCACAAGGGTGCGGGGTGTGATATTATGTAGGGGGTGCGGTGTCATGCGGCTAGTATGTGTGATGAAGTACACTCACAGGCCCCCCATCCGGCCGCTCCGATACATATGACGGTGTGATGACCTCAGCCAGCCACAGCAGTTCACGCACACGACTTGAGAACGAGGTGCGACTTGCTTTTCGGTGAAGGCGGTGGTGCGGGCCTCAGCAGTATGTGTGGTGTGATGCATGGCTGGTGAAGGAGTCTCAGCAGGTACTGCTCTTGTCCAGAAAGGAATGGCGTGTCTGAGCGTGCAGATTGGAGGCACCATGGGAGTCTGTCTGACCCACGACCGTTTAAGCCGTATGCTCCCAGTTGGGGTTGTACTGCATCGACGGCGGTATTATTGATATTCATGGCTTGTGACCACGGAAGGCATCGGCGTCAGTTAGACCAGTACGGACATTAGAAGGTACCGAGCGGAGACCGGAACGGCTTTCAATGTGAAGACAACAACAACAGCTACAAAAACGCCTGTGGCTCGCACGTTGCGCTTGTTTGTGACGCTGCTCACATGGTTCGATACGGGGGGTGCCGTGGATAGTGCACGGCTCAACGTGAGGGTGTGGTATGCTATGTGATCGTGTAATTCAGCAGTACTCCTGTTTTGGTTCTTTTTTCGGGACTCATAACAATTTGCGCAAGGGTATTTTTCTGTTCGTTTTTGAAGGGGTTGTGGCATGTCGGTCACCTACGGTACATCGAGGCGGGAGACGTTGAGTACCGCCTATTAGGTGGGATACCCAGATATGTCCTCATCCACAGAAAGATCGAAAAATATCGCTCCTGTTATTTGGGGGTGTACTGTGGTATGGTAGTGCCAGAACTTGAGTTGGGGCATACCAAACTGCTGAATTTCTGCAAGCCAAACTTGTGGATCTACACTGACCAGAAGCAACCAGCAGAGGAACAACGTGGCATGACCACGTGTAAATTTTGGTAGATTGCCCGATTTGGAATCTGGGTGTGTGGTGGAATTTCGATAGCCGTTCGTGGGAGAGCTAGGATGCCTTGCGAAAAGCGTTGGAAAACGCATGTAACCTCACGTTGGCACTCGGTGCTCGGCATCAAGACGTTCATGACTACAGATGCTCCGTGGATTCTGACGTGCCCCTCTGTAAAAGATACGACTGAGACGATTAGTGACTCTAGACTGCGGTCAAAAACGCAATGGGAGAAAAGTTGCAATAGGTACAACGCTGTCAGCCCACAGCAAGGGAGGTGGGGAAACGTACGGGCGACAGGATTGAATATGGTCCTTTGGGTGGTTCACGTAGCAACGTTGCAACCCCCTACACGCTGCTGGCCTGTGTTGTGTATTGGCTTGATTTGATACGCAATTCTGAGGGAGGAAGCAGTGAATAACCGGCACCATTGATAGCAGCGTGGCACCATAAAAGGGCGGTGAGCATTCCTCTGTACAGTCACAGGCCGCAGGCAGATTGCGAGATCGTACAGCGCTCGGGCGAAGTGAATGATTCCTGGAAAGGGTGCCGACGCAGTAGTCTTCGAAAACATTGCGACTTTCCTCGAGTACCACCGAAGCGCGCGTGGTGTGTAGATGGTGACCGCCTTTCCTTTGGACATTCGAATAACTGCCACTCCACCTCATAAACGACCCGTTTCCTTTGTATGGCAATGTCCGCGCAGAGTTCATGCAAGTGGCCAAGGCCACCACAGTCGGGTTCCTGGTCATGGGTTTCATTGGATTCTTCGTCAAGCTCGTCCACATCCCAATCAACAACATTTTGATGGCGTAAGTTTCGGGCGCATGTGTGTAGAGCAAAACGCTCATGTCCTCTCCAGTTGCGATAAAGATTCATCCAAATTTCGAAGTTGATCACTTGCCCTTTCTCTGTGAAGCGACCCATAACCCGTCCACTGTCGTGTTTCTTTTGGTGTCTATGCCTCTGCTCGTCTCTCGGCTTTGCCCTTTTTGTGCCCCTCTCCTCTCTAAATTCCCTCCGGGCTCACGCGACCTATATCTTCAGAGGATGACTTGACTAGGACTCGTTTGGGAACCGCTCGGCGGAATGGGGAATACGATGCAGCTTCGAGTCTGGGTGCGTGGTGAAAAACGCAGTGATCGCCGAATATCATGATGGACGCCGGTTGCCTCGTGAACCGACTTAAGAGTCAGCCAAGCGAATAGTCTCGTCACGTCAAAGTACTTGGCTTCAAAGTACGGGTGATGTCCGAAGGGATCGGTAGGATCGGATAGATGCTCCTCGGAAGATGGGCACCGCGGGGCGCGCAAGACATTTCGAACGACGGAGATACGTCCGATAACGGTGTGGTGTACCGTTGCGTTGCTGTAGGTATGATGTTTGGATGTTTTGTTGTGAACGGCTGGTGCACGATAACGGTGTTGTTTAACACGGGAGAATGCTCATCTGATTTTATGTGTCTGGACGTAGTGTCCCAACACCATGAAGGGTCACGCCGTTTTTCCACTCGGTACTTGGGCTCCCGTCAAGCATGTCGCCTGGTCGTGTTTCACCCTCAATGCTGACACCGTTGTCTGAAACAGAATCGGTGTCGAGTTCAAAGTGCCTCTGTCCAGTGCAAACACCCAACAAGGGTGCGTGAGGATGAAAGCATACGCTCCCCACAGCGTCAGTCTGATTTTCGAGCGAACCGACAAGAGATTGGCTTTCAGTGTCGTAGACAAGGGCCCGTCGCTCTGTAGAACCAGTTGCCAAGTACCGCCCGCTTGGATCGACGTCAAACCCAATTCGCTGGTTCGTGTCCACTTGACGTGGGAGGGTGTAGATTGCCTGCGAGTGGGATGCACAGCATGGACGACATGGCGAGGGAGCGTTGGATGTCACGGCATTTTTTCAACACAAAAGCGAGTTAAACCGAGGTACGCTACATGCATTGGATGGTCCAGTCAAATCATGCCTCCCCTTGTGATCAATCCACCGTCAAGGGCATATACTCCTTTATCTTTGCTGGAGTTCGTAGCTAAAAGCCCTCAGTGTTTTGCGGCACGAACACACCATGGTTGGATCAACTCCGAACGTGAACGAGCGGGAGCAGAAAGAAGAGGCAACACGGAACGATGGAGGCGCCCAATCAAGGCCTCCCCCCGTGTTTTTCAACCCTGGCCGGAGGCCTACCACGTTTTCTACCCGCTTCGTATCCGGACTGAGAGGAAAGCTCACAACAAGATGTGATTTGTCTGGTGGGCGGTCCATCTCCAGGGTCTCTCGCGACAAATCGATTAGGAGATGAGGGGACTTTCGCAGACGCTTCCAGAAAAAGTCACGGGCCTTTGATGCGCACACATAGCCTTGCGGAATGTCTCAGATGGGAATGCTGTTGTGGCGTCCAAGGTTACTCACCTGTTTCGTTTGCCGAAGGTCCCAGCACACGATGGCAGTGTCCTTACGTGAGCCAGAGAAGAGATACCGGCCGTTGGGTGCAAACTTGAGGTGTGTAACGCCGCCCATTGTTGGCGTCGCCAACTCTGCTACAGCGCGTGCACGACTGGAAAAAGCGGACGTAACGAAGGGAGCTTGGTTTTGAGTATGCCGCAGTACCTGTCACTGGGGGCTACAATATGCGTACGAGCAGCTCAAATCGTACCATCACACAAATCATCTTGCCATATTCATTCATTGACAGCACGCGCAGGCAGGCAGGCTATTGGGCGGCGATACCATACTGCGCATACCCATCACGTCGCCCTGATATATCGCATCACCTCCAGCAAGATGAAACCACTGGCAACAGCTCTCGAAAACGATACGGTAACGCCAAACTTATGCCTGCCTGTTCTCGCTGTACAAAGAAATTGTCTTCGCGTAGGACCCAGCGGCGAATAAGCCTCCTCCAGAACTCGCCGGGCAAAACGCCAAAGCCGAAATGATGCCCCGCTGCCCGGTTTTGCTCTTGCGGGTTTTACACGTGGGCCGTGCTTCAAATGACCTCCCAGGTTGAGATACATCGAATACTCTGATCATTCTGTTGTACCCTTCGCGAAATCACACATAGTCAGCAGCAGATGACGGGGGATCAACGAGTTCATAGTGTGGGGAAGCAACAGGGGCGCCGCAGCGATGGACAGCCTGTCCAGATCAATAAGCATATAATACTTGTCGGTGGCTGCTGGTGGCAAGTCAGCCCAAGTAAGGTATGATTCCTACCAAGCTTACCAGCTGCGGGATGAAGCTGAAAAGGTGGGGGTACGAGAGAGACGGAGGGTGTGGGAATGTCGAGGAAATTACTGTCAAAGGTGCAACTGGACGCTGAAGATCTCATGTCATCACTCTAGCGCTCTGCCGCCCACCCCATGGTCACAAGATCCATGCACGAGGCAGTGTTTTGCGGGTACTCCCGTGCTGACAACCTACGCCTTCGCTAGCCAACCGGGCGATGCCGTCTGAATGCGTCATGTTTGTACGAAAACAAATAATCATCAACTCAACTTTAACTCGTTCACCGGGGTTTTATACAGGCATCTACAGCAGGACAGGCGAACAGGTCTCTCATGTAACTCACAGCCTTGTACCGCTACGGCACCCCTCGCAACCATGGACGAGGCAGTGTTTGACGGATACTCTACCCACAGCCCTGCATTGAACCAGAACCGACCTTCCCGCACCTGCAAAAATTTTGTCGCCAGCTGTATTGAAGCAAACAGAATTCGCGGCCACAATTTCGTCTAGGTGGTCATATGCTCGATATGTGGCCCTGAGATTGCCCGTGAATGCGTCCCACATGTGTAGTGGGTGATCTCGACTGGTGCTTACGAAGACGCTTGTCGCTGGCTCGGATGAGGACATGTGTGGGTACCTACGCATTATGACAGTGACAGGCGGCGTGGCTCCGTAAGGTGTGATGCGCGAGCAATTGGCAAATAGGCAATGCATCGTGCGAGCAATTGGCAAATGGGCAATGCATCGTAGGAGCCCAAAAGAGGGTTGCAACCAGGTTAGTGACAGAAATACGTTCCCCATTTTCAACCATTTCACTTTGGCCGTAATCTTCTCGATTTCTCTCCAAAGTTTTCCTCTCTACTGGTCTGACATGTTCATAGTATAGTAGTGGTGACGATCGACATTTTCGCCTGCGGCAAAAATATCCAGCCACATCATCAACATACCATGCGAAGTCGTAAACCGTTTCCCCCTCGACGGAGTACAGACAAGGGGTCCAATCATCCGTGAAGTCAGAATGTGCGGAAGACGCAGCATCATCGACGGTATCAGAGGGGGCTTGTCGTTTCTCCTGTACGTCGCGGACCGAGGGAAGAGGACGCACATTGTCAACGCCTTCAACCAGCAACAGCAGTTTGAACGATAGACCCTCTTCTTGTTCTAAAGTCGGCACAACACTCATCAATCGTTCCACACAGGATAGCCTGTGACTGCTGCGTGAACTCCGCTCCACACATCTCTGTACAACGATGTGGAAATGAAATTTCTAGAGGTAGCTCAAACTTCACCACATCATTCACCGGCGCGCGCAAAGCAATTCCAAAGAACCAAAGCACGTCCTCACCACTCGCAGCGCATGGCCGGGAACTTCAAAGACACGGAGAACCGTATCGTCACTAGAGGTCAGCAAGCACGTTCCATCTGGTGAGAAAGAGGCGCCCTTCAGGAAGTTGTTCGCCGTCGGGAGCCCCAGCGCAACATCCTGAGTATCACCAACCGCAACCGGCGCAATGGACATCATGATGTTATTTCCGGGGGATACAAGACGGCAAACGTTCTCCTACATTTTGCTTGGGTTCACGTGTTTGGGAGCAAAACTTCGAGTATTGCTTACCGAGCATAAATGGGAGCATCCAACCACAAACGACGTGATTGCCCAAGGTCGGTATTGCTCAATCCACGTGGTCAAAACATATATGTGAACGCCGTACAGGCAAAGCTGTCGGTGTCGAACTCCCTCGCACGGCCAATGACCGGAAATTCAGGTTTCAAGGCGACTCCACCCGCCCGAGGGCCCACGGGATAAATAAATGCTCCGGGGATGACCCCAAGAACACTCAGACTGATTTGACTTGGATTTTCCTGTAGACTTCGTCTATTGCTATGGGTTGCAGACCCTGGTCAACACAGGAACAAATCGTTTACGATATTGCTGTAGTCTACTGTTGTAACGGTACATCGGACCAGTACCAGCTTCATACAGGAAACCACCACGCGCTACAGATGTATCCATTTGTCTACAAGTACAGCATCGTGGCCCACCTGTCGACTGTTGAAATTCCTCCGAGCCACGCAGAGAGGGCGTAGAAATGAAAATTCCAAAGATCCTGAGACCTTTTCCAGCTCCATCTCGTCGACTTCCACGGTTGGTGCCGGCGTTGCACTGCTCCCGTCGTTCGCAGTTTGATTCATGATGTGCGTGTTACTGCGCGAAGAGCCCGTGCAGCTCTCTCTCTCGCTTTCTCTCTCTCCTACGCTATAGGTCTTCCTACTCGCCTCTCCTTCCTTTCGCTCCCCTGGGGAGCTCTGGAGTTCTGACAAGACCCACCCTGAAGCACCAAGCACCAAGCAGCGAAGGCGTGCGGAGTGCGGAGTGCGGAGTGCGGCACAACACGACAGTCCCGTCCGCCCGTCGGTATCTCGGAATTTCAACCTATCTGTACAGTCCCGCCGCACGCACGCTGTGAGCGCCGCTGTTTGCAATGACGGCGGGTGTGCATGTGTGCATAACAACAAGCAGCGTACAGCCCACAGATTGTTCGGTTGAATATGGTAGAGGGAGACAACTACGACTGGGCTCGTGCGAGTTTCTGGACGGCGATCTCAGACACTGTGAGATTCTATCGCTGTCTTTTCTACTTCCTGACGGGAGGGACTTACAAGGAGTGCCCGTACTTCGCGACCAGGTTGCAGGTGGGGAACTTTGTGATGATATACGTGTTCTGTTCAACGTAACTCGACCGAGAATACGTCCTCTGCTCAAACCGCGAGATTGGTGTCACTTAAACCGACAGTTTCGTGGGAGGGAAGGAGCAACCACGTCGAACTCATGTTCAAGTTGAAGCAGTTGCGTGCGTACTTGCACACCCCGCAGCATGTATCAACTGCTGGGCGGCACACATGAAAAAATCAAAGGGTAACGTACCAGCACCAGGCACTACGCACCAGGGCATGTTGGAGTAACGGAGCCAACAGGGCAAAGAGGCGTGTGTGTGTAGTTTGGCGTTTTGGTTTTCCGGGGACGCGCCTCCCGCAGCCCAGGGCACAAAGAAGCGCGATGTAGTCCGGAGGTGTTGCCCCCCCCCCCCTCCCCCTGGTTTGAAGAATTTGCAAGTCTGGGGTATGCAGGGGCTCCGTGCCATGAATGCATGCATGCGGTGTGACCGCTGAGATGATCATGTCGTAACTGCTGGATACAGACAGATACAGGACACACACCGAAGATGCACACAGACAGCCGTGAGATACAAACACGTGCAATAGCTGGCAACCTGTGTAGCTATGATGTGTGGTTGTACGTTCATTTGATGAGATGATGTGTACGTGATGTGTACACACAAAGCAGCAGCAGCAGTCTAGCAGTCAGTGGTTTGCTTGGTCCACCACCAGTGCCGGGGGGGGTAAACCTCCCCGGGACCCCCCCCTCACCCACGCGTGGTTTGCTTGGTTCACCAAACGCGTGGTTTGCTTGGTTCACCAAACGCGTGGTTTGCTTGGTCCAAAATATATTTACTTGATTTGTAACAAATCACAGTTACGGAGATACCTTGCTGTCGGTGCTAGATTTGCACACCTCCCTCTGAGCCAAGGAGTTTTAGGTTGCGTGGAGACCGCTTTGCCAGAAAGAAGTTATTCGGCAATGCAAATTGAAGTCCCACCAGCAATCGGAGACGGCAGGGCAGTGTCGCGACGGGTGTAGACTGCTGTATTTCAACGGCCGCCCAAAGTCGTGGTGCCTCAGTAGTGCCGATGGAAAAGTGCCACTGCCTGGTACAGCGCCGTTATATCTCACGGTACAGACGAAATCCGCGGTATCGCCTGTACCGTTTGTTGCGCCGGTTCGGGCTCCTACTCGGTGAACACACACATCCCACACACCACAACCCCACGGCAAATCCACTCATAACCAAACACTGCCACCGTCATGTTGATCTGCCCTTATCCATTTCTTTGAATGGACTAAACTTGCCCGCATCAAACGTTGCAGGCGCGCGTCCAATGCTACTCCTTGGGTCTTATCTTCTACCTCTGGTCCAAGCCGCACTACCGCAATGCCTCCTTCAAAGAGGTGGGTTCGCACGGGATTCATATATTCCGAACTGTGTATCCGCAAGTCCTTACCGCAATAAAATGCTCACATGCACAAAGTCTGCGCTAACGCGCTCGTCATATGGGTGATGGTCAGGACATGTTTAAGAACTTGAGGAATGTGGCAATCCCTGGAACCGGCATCCCTCTGAGCTTTTACTGCTCCTTCAAAGCAATGGTTTACATCTTCATCTTGGTCGTCAACCCTGCCATCTGCTTCATGGCGGCACTCAACCTGCAACGAAAACATGGCAGGTGCGATACGATCAAAGCAGGTGCGCAATATTTGGCGAAGAGATCAAACTCGAAACATGTAGTTCGGAAGCTTCGTAGCGATCTGTGCGCCATGGTCTTGCGTCACTTTTTCTCCGCAGAATAGTCCGGCTATGTTTCTTTTGACCAAGGCAATGGTTACCTTTCATTCACGTTCATACTCAACTAGTGTGCAGCGCTCTAGCTGTGTTTGTGTTGAAAGGTAACTTTGTTCGCTCTGAAACACTCAGTGTGTTGGGGTGTGGGACCG